CACAGTTATGGACCAATCTTCACGAAATTTTGCATGTAGGATGAGTTCTGGCCAATGAAGACCCCTATTGTTTTTGGGAAAGATCGGTTAATATTTAGGGGATGAAATGGACCAAATACTAATTTTTTTCGGTTTTTCTGGTCGCTCCAGAGGCCGCAACAATGGTCCGAACATCGTGAAATTTTGCATGGAGAAGCGGATCGGGCCAAAGAATAAGCATGCCTGTTTGGAGAAAGATCGGTCAATATTTAACGGGTCAAATGGACCCTGACTTTTGTGTGAAAAATGACAAAATTTGTATTCTATGGCGTATATGTTTACCCCTGAAGGACATATACCCGAGAAGTTTATATTATATCCAAGAGGAGTGGTTGACCTTTAAATTAAGACTAATTATATTGTTGTATGTGCTCGGATGTGGGAGTTACACCTAAATATTTACAGGTATCTCCGTATTCGTATATTATTTAGTAACCCATTATCACTCTGGAGAGCAGAACTATAGCGCTGATCGCTTTGAAATTTTCCATGAGGATCCAGTTATGGTCAAGGACAACGCATATAATTTTCGGTGATGATCAGATAAATATTTTGGAATGAAGTGGACCGAAAACTTAATTTTTTGTGTTATTTTCGAGTCGATCTATAGACCTCAAATGAAAGACGAACATCGCAACACAACCCACGGTGAAGGGAATCTGGACAATAGCTGTACTGAATACTCGTAATATTCGGAAAATATGTTAGTGAGAGGAAGAGGTGCTGTTTACCTCTAATCGGGCAAGAGGGTGCAAATATCACGAAATGTTGCCCAGTCTCGGAATTGTAGGGTATCGTATGGTCGGCCCCGTCGGCCTATACTGCTCCGCTCACTGGTTTTTTTATCAATAAGAACCCAAAATACCAAATTAAAAATATTCTTTAAAAAAATTATGCTTCTTGAAGGTCCTTAAAATGTTTCATTAAAAAATCTATGCTTTATGAAGGTCCATAAAATTTATTCATTTAAAAATCGACGCTTGTTAAAGCTCCTTAAAACGTTTCATTAAAGAATCTATGCTTGTGGAAGGTCCTTAAAAATATTTTTTTAAATCGACGCTTGTTGAAGGTCCTTAAAAATATTCTTTAGAATATCTATGGTTGTTGAAGGTCCTTAAAATGCATTCATTACAAAATCGACGTTTGTTGAAGATCCTTAAAAAAGTCTTCAAAAAATGTACGCTTGTTGAAGATTTTTAAAACAAGCCTTCAAAAAATCTGCGCTGGATCCTTAAAATGTTTATTTAAAAAATCTACGCTTGTTGTAGGTCCTTAAAAAATAGTCTTCAAAAATTATATGCTTGCCGTTAATATTCGTTTTAGAAAATCGATAACTCTTAAAATTTTTTTCTTTAACGTAAGTAAGCGATAGAATTTCATTTCTTTTCTTTAGACAATCTATGCCCCAGAAAGTCCATTAGGAAATCCTCGCCTCATATTGTTCTTAAGAATATATGCCTCGTTATGTGGGCGCTACCACACAATATTGGCCAATATCAATAATTTTTGGTGCGGAGATAAATACAACCTTCCGATATTCCTTTTCAAAAAATTGTTTAAAATACTTTTATTCTAGTTAGGAATCCATATGACCATCCAGTTTTCAACTATTGAACATATTGAACCCTATAAGAGCTGTCTTTATTTTTAGACGATTCTACATATGATTCTCTTCAGTACAGTCCCGCTATTACTATTTTAAAGTAGTCAAGACTGGACATTATAGCATATATTTAATTTTTGTTTGCTACAAAACTTCATTAGCATTTCATCGCGACACTCGGAGCTTGTTACATAACTATAGGTTTAACCTCAAGTTCTACGAGGAGGAAATAAAACGGAGCACTTTTGTGTTTGTGGCAATGGTGATGGTGGCATTTGGTTCTTTTTAAGTAGTCATTTAATCATACATTGTCTTTTGAAAGCTGTCTCTCGGGTTATTATAATGAAAGACATATGGTTGAGAAGAAGAAGGGAAGGTAACCCTATGAAAAGAAATCAATACTAAAACGAAAAAAATTAAAATCGAAACAAATAGGTTCTACTAAGGCAATAGCATATTCTGGGGAATTGGGGGGTCCAAGTAACGAGGCTCACTAATGATTGTCAATACAGGACATGGTGTCGTTGCAATTTTGTTTTGGTTTATTGATCCCGATTTTTGGTTTTTCCAATTTTTAAAATATTTATTTTATTTAACACGCCTAATTATTATGGATATCCTTCCCCTCCACATTTTCCTATTACAAGGCTTGTGTCCACATAGTATTCATTCTTTAATGTTTTTTCTTATTTTGTTTCTAAAGTCAAAGATCACGATTTTTTCATTTCTTGAACCTCTCAAAGACTTAACACTTACGGTTATTCAAAATGTTGCACAAATTTTTGCAGTTTCCTTGCCGTTTGCTATTGCAGACGACGTTGATGATGTGGCAACGTCTGTTGCTGCTGTAAACTGTAGTAAGTGTCCGTCCAGCATATGTTCGTGTGTCTCTCTGTTTGTCTGTCCGGCTGACTGACTGTCTATCTATCTCTGGTAACCACATAAAACTTTACATATTAACACAAAACCGACTCTAGAAGAAAATCCCATAAAGAACATAGAGACAAAAGCCATTGACTTGGAGAATATAAACGGTGGGGGGACATACAAAATAGAGGGTGTGAACGGCAGACGACAACTAGATACTGGAAGTAACAAGCGTAAAATAGTTGAAACATAAAAAAAAACTCACAACAAAATTCTTAGAATTTGAATATTGTGTGAAATAACAACGGCAGCCCAAAAACAGACAAAATGCTAGAAAACAAAAATCGAAAGAAAAAAGAGTAAAAAGGAAGAAATTCTGGAAAATACAGAAAACCATGACTTCCGAAGCGGGATACCTTTGCGATGAGTAGAGAAAACCTATAAGAAACGACAGTGGCTTCAGAAAGAAAAATATCTAACAATGTTCTCATATCTTGTTTAGGCTTAAGTCCATCTGAAGTCTTTGTATAGGCAGGAGGTCTACAGATGTCATCCAATAAGGAAAATGCAATCATATGGCCTACTTCACATACGAGACTTTAAAAAATATTCTTGAAAAAAGTCCAATCTTGTTGAAGGGCCTAAAACTGATCCTTCAAAAATCTTCACTTCTTCAAGATCTTTAAACATATTTTTAAAAAAAAAATTAAAACATATTTTTTAAATAATTAAAAAAATAGTCCATAAAACATCTTCACTTGTTGAAGGTCCATAAAAAATCTTCACTTGTTGAAGGTCCTTTAAATATATTCATTTAAAAATTGTTGAAGTTCCTTAAAAATACTCGTTAAAAAATCTACGCTTGTTGTAGGTCCATAAAAATATTCTTTAAAAAATCTGAGCTTGTTGAAGGTCCTTAAAATATTCTTTAAAACATCTACACGCTTTGAAGGTCCTTAAAATATTCTCTAAAAAATCTACACTTTTTGAAGGTCCATAAATATAAACGTTGAAAAATCTACGCTTGTTGAAGGTCTTTAAAAAAATATGCGCTTATTGAAGGTCATTAAAACTATTCGTCAAAAATCTACGCTTGTGGAAGGTCCCTAAAATATTTTTTGAAAAGTCTATGCTTGTTGAAGGTCCTTAAAACTATTCTTTAAAACATCTACGGTTGTTGAAGGTCCTTAAAAATATTCTTTAAAAATATTGACTTGTCGAAGGTCCTTAAAATACGTTCATTAAAAAATCTACGTTTGTTGAAGGTTTGGCTTGTCAAAGGTCCTTAAAAATATTCTTTAAAAAATCTACGCTTGTTGAAGGTTTGGCTTGTCAAAGGTCCTTAAAAATGTTCTTTAAAAAAATCTACGCTTGTTGAAGGTTTGGCTTGTCAAAGGTCCTTAAAAATATTTATTAAAAAATCTACGCTTGTTGAAGGTCCTTAAAAATATTCTTTTCTTTTAAAAATCTACGCTTGTCGAAGGTCCTTAAAAATATTCTTTAAAAAATCTACGCTTGTTGAAGGTCCTTAAAAATATTCTTTAAAAAATCCACGCCTGTCGAAGGTCCTTAAAAATATTCTTTAAAAAAATCCACGCCTGTCGAAGGTCCTTAAAAATATTCTATAAAAAAATCCACGCCTGTCGAAGGTCCTTAAAAATATTCTTTAAAAAATCCACGCCTTGGTTAGGTCCTTAAAATATTCTTTAAAAAAGCTACGCTTGTTTAAGGTCCTTAAAGTATTCTTTGAAAATTCTACGCTTGCTGAAGACCATTAAGAGTGTTGTTGAAGGTCCTTAAAATATATTCTTTAAAAAATCAGCGCCTTTGGTAGACCTTAAAAAATAATCTTAAAAAAATCTATGCTTGTTGAAGGTCCTTACAAAATATTCTTTAAAAATCCTCACTAGTTGAAGATCCTTAAAATATAGCAAAAAAATCTACACTTGTAGAAGGTCCTTAAAATACGTTCATTAAAAGATCAACGCTTGTTAAAGGTTCTTAAAAATAATCTTTAAAAATCTACGTTTGTTGAAGGTCCTTAAAGATATTCTTTAAAAAAATCTACGCATGTTGAAGTTCCTTAAAAATATTCTTTACAAAAATTGAAGCTTGTTGAGAGCCTTAAAAATATTCGTTACAAAAATCTACGCCTCAGATGGTCATTGAAAAAATATTCTTTAAAAAATCCAATTGTTGAAAATTGTCCATTTTGATCCACTGTGTTCAATTCAAACTCCTTCTTCATACAAATCAATAGTTTATTTTTAGGAAAAAAAAAAGAATAGAATACAGGCGTGGGCAATCTATATTTTTCCTCCGCCAAAGTTTTGCTTAATATAGTTACTTTCCATAAGGACTAGGAAAGAATAAAAAAACCAAAACAAAACTTAAACATAAGACTTTGTCATCATAGCAAAACAAAAACAACAAAGCTAGAAAATTCTCCTTAATAATACAAACTTAAAAAACAACAACAAAAAACACTCACCCGAAACACCAAACTCGAACTGGTAAACGTTGGCCGATTGTCATTCAAATTTAACACCTCAACACGCAGCAAACGTATCGATTGTTTTGGCGGATTACCGCCATCGGTTGCTGCCACCGCCAAACGATAGATGCTACGCTCCTCGTGATCCAACACGACCAACGTGCGAATCACACCCGTGTTGGCGTCTATGCTAAACAGACCAAAGCCATCCGAATCACGACCTTTTAATATCGAATAAGTGATCGATGCATTCTGTCCATTATCACGATCGACAGCACGTATGCGCACCACCTCAGTGCCGGGCGGCTGTTCTTCGCGTACGCTGACCACATCCTCTTGCGGATCGACAATTTTCGGTTGATTGTCATTGACATCGGTTACATGGACTTTGACAGTAACGCGTGAACTACGATATGGTGTACCTTGGTCGCGAGCCTCAGCGACAAATTCATAGACGGAGCTGACTTCACGATCCAGCGGTTCACGAGTGGTTATTTCGCCTAAGAGGGAAAGAAAAGAAAAGAGGGAATGGAGAGATTTGTTAATATAATGAAATACATTGAAGAGTGTGTAAAACAAAAAACAAACAAACTAAATTGTGGGATGTTGTAATTAATTAGTGCAATTAATTTCGACTTATACAGCAATCACCTGTCATAGAGCTTTAAAAAATATTCCTTTTTAAAGTCATCAAACAAATTGTTCGTTTACGTACAATGGACAAATTTATGTAAATAAATTTATAGCAAACGTTATAACGCTATTCGGTATTTCCCTCTGTCCAAAATGTAATCTCAATCAAACACCCGTTAGAAATATATATGGAAGCTATGTCTGCATCTGCACCAGCTAAAACCAGTAAGGATAGTAGTAAAGTCGGACTGGACCGACTATATGATACCCTTCACCTCATTGGGTATATTGTACATATGTATCCTAACAATTGCATGTCTATGTTCCCTCTTTCTCCGACCTATCCTAACTTTAATTTCATTCGATCAGATTTAGAGCCGTCTGCGTAACATGGGGAAAATTTATGGAAAACGATTTATAGCAAAATTGAATCGATTTTCACGAAAACTAACATACATCTTTCTAGACTTAATTCAGTACGCTATGCCAAATTTTGTGCAAATCGAAGGATGTATAAAAGGACCTTGGTGCACCATTTACATAAAATCGGACGAAAATATATATGGGAGATATGTCGAAATCTAAACCGATTTTCCCGAAACTCACCACTTATCATTCTAGACTCAATTCAGTACGCTTTTTGCAAATCGAAGGATATAAAGGGACTTTGGTGCACTATTTACCTAAAATCGGACGAAAATATATATGAGAGCTATATCAAAATCTCAACCGATTTTCACGAAATTTAACACACATAGTTCTAGACTTAATACAGCACGCTATGCGAAATTTCGTGCAAATCTAAGGATATAAAGGGACTTTGGTGCACTATTTTCCGAAAATCGGACGAAATTATATATATGAGATATATCTAAATCTGAACCGATTTCCACGAAATTTAACACTCATCGTTTTAGACCTAATTAAGTACGCTGTGCCAAATTTCGTGCAAATCAAAGGATATATAGGGACTTTGGTGCATCATTTACGTAAAATTGGACGACCATATATATGGGAGCTATATTGAAATCTTGTCCGATTTTCCCGAAACTCGCCACTCATCATTCTAGACTGAATTCAGTATGCTATGTCAAATTCCGTGCAAATCGATAGATATTTAGGGACTTTGATGCACCATTTACGTTAAATCGGACGAAAATATTTATGGACGCTATATCTAAATCTGAACCGATTTCCACGAAACTTAACACACTTCATTTCAGACTCAATTAGGTGCGCTGTGCTGAATTTCGTGCATATTGAAGAATATATAGAGACTTTGGTACACCATTTACCTTAAATCGGAAATATATCCAAATCTGAACCGATTTTCAGGAAACTTCACACCCATCATTCTAGACCTAATTCATTACGCTGTGCCAAATTTCGTGCAAATCGAAAGATATATAGGGACTTTGGTGCACCATTTACATTAAATCGGAGGATAATATATATGGGAGCTATATATAAATCTGCACCGATTTTCAGAAACTTGGCAGACATCACTCTAGGCTCAATTCAGAACGTTT